AAAAATACAAACAAACTGAAGTAAAGGGAAGAACATTTATGTCAAACGAATATGCATCCTCATTCATCCTGTTTTTTTTTGTGTGTGAAATCTACGTCTTTTGGTCTCAAAACTACGTGTTGTAGTCATTCTTGTATGTATTGCTTTATGACGTTTTGTGAAAAATCTGTATATGATGGAGAAAAATCATATCATTTTCGGATTCAGCGTACAGGAATTACTGTGGAGCATGTAAAAATTTCAAGATTATGAAACTATCGTAGGCCTGTGTAATTGTTATGGTTTAAAAAGTACTGCCATCATTATAGCGTTATTTTCTATTTTTGTTTTAAAATATCATAATATTTTTCTGCGATATAATCATAATTGTAATAATAATCGCTATCTCACTCGTGGTTTACAGCTGTCATTACGATTTCTTGGAAATCCAAGATGATGAGGTTTTACGATACTGTGGAGACTACAGGTCAAAATTAAAGCTACTCAGACGATTGAGTATAACCAACGAAATAAGGTTAAAGTTTCTTTCTGATTTCTCTTACTCAAAGAAAGGGTTTAGAGCGGAGGTTCGTCTTTGGAACAGTAAAAAAGGTCGTATATTTTATTTTGCTTCATCTAATTTTTATTTTACTCGAGCGACGTAATTTACCAAGATACTAAAAATAAAAATAACCTTTTGAAAACTTTTTATGATTAACTAAGATACTGAACAAAAGGAATAACTTGTAATGATGACTAAGATATTGAGCGTAATAAATAACTTTCTAAAACTTCTAATGATTGACTACGATAATGAACATGAAAAAGAAGTTGTTCAAAACTTGTAATGATTGACTAAAATACTGAACATAAGAAATAAGTTGTCAAAAGCTTATAGTGACAACTAAGGTACTGAACTAAAATTAACTTGTCTAAAACTCTTTATAATTAACTAAAATATTTAACGTAATAAATAATTTGTCAAAAACTTGTAATGTTTGACTAAGATACTGAATGTAAAAAATAACTTGTCTGAAACTTGTAATGATTGACTACCATAGTGGAAGTAAAAAAACAACTTGTTGGGTGTTTTCTTATAGCAAAGCCACATGGGGCTGTCTGCTGCGTCCACTAAAGGGAATAGAACTTCTGATTTTAGCATTGTAAATCATAAGACTTACTGTTGTCCCACTAGGAAACAATACCTTATTCAAAATTATAATAATTAACTAAGATACTGTAAATAAGAAATGATTGATCCAAAATTTGAAATGATTTACCAACATGCTGGGCATTTTAATAGCTAACTAACGTTATATTAATTACAGGTTAATTAGTTAGATGATTACTATGTAAATGACAAGCAAATTAAAATTAATTAATATGCAAATTGTAACTAATATTCATATTTTTAATCATATGATGTAACCTAATAACGCTCTTCCTGTTGTTATATAAAAGAATGATATCTTAGATTTTGTGCAAAAACGGTCTGATTTCTTGGGGAACATTCACTGACGTCAAGGACTTGCATATTAATTATTAAAAAATAGCTTGATATTAAATTTGATTACTACCTGCATTTTAATCATTTCATTAATTAACTTTCAATTAATAAACATTAATTTGATATTAAAAATCTTAATGTTTATTATCATTTGCATATTAATGTAATTTTAATTTTCATATTATTTACATGGTAATAATTAATTAATTAACATTTAATTATTAAAACATTAATTAGATATTAGAATGGGAATATCAATTACTATTTGTATATCCTTTATATATGCTTATTAACTACATATGACGTCATCCCCTTCCTCACTTTTGCCTCGATAGTGACATTATAACTACTCATATACAAAAGGTAAAGTTATATAAAAATGCAATCTAGAACTGTTAGGTGTAGATTTATTTATATATATATATTCTATATTTTAATTCATATTTGGGGTAAACATTTCAAGATAATTCGCCCTACTTAGTGAATTTCAGAAAACTCTGTAGATATAAAATTCAAAATTACTAAAAAAATGCTGATATAACGTAAATGGCTTTTGTTTTCTTCATTAGTTTTGAGAAATTGAGAAAGAAGTGAAGATTGCAAATTATTTCATGGCTTAGTCCAGGACTAATAATGAAGAATGGTACTCCTACGAAACCTGGTCTAATTTGAAACAGTGAGCCAAAAGAAAAATAGATCATATATTTAACATCCTTGTTTGCACAAGAAGTTGGTTAAAACGATCTTTTTCATGTGACCTCTACCTATTCTCTTCACTTCTTTGTATGGGTTTAATTGTCTAGTATTCTTTGCCATGTGCCTTTTTTGTTACAAATATATGTAAAACTGTAAACTTATATAAATATTTTTCTAGATAGTGTATCTTCTGAAATACTGTGCGGAAACAGAATATTTCACCTTTACGACCACCAATGTTTCCTGCTAGTTTCTTACCCAGAAGTCAGCTGGTACACTGCTCATCAGATATGTGGTGGATCTGAAGCGAGTTTAGCTACTTTTCACAAACAAGAAGAGATACATTTTGTAAATCAGCTCATCCAATCTACTGAAATCTTCATGTCAGGATCGCTGTACTGGATAGGTGCAACTAAGGAAGTAGGAACAAAGAATTGGCACTGGATTGATGGACTGCAGATCAACCAATCAGGTGAAACAAAAAGTGTTTAAACTGCTTTTTGTGTATGTATTATACCTAATTGAGAATTTAAAATACTGAAAAATAACATAATGCAAAAGCTTTTGCATTATTTTAGTTTAAAGTATTGGCAAGTATTTGAATGTCGGTAATAGAAACAAAATATATCAACTAATTAGATAAAATCAGTACTAGTCTACTTGGTTACAAGTTTTTGTGGTTGTTATTAAGCAGAAAGCTACACAATTGGCATTATAAACCTTCAGAGTTGAGCCAGTGGGGTGCAGTACAAGTGGGATCCTAATCAAAAACTTCAACTGATCACGGAAGTCTCGTCAACAAATACACACACATACCTAAGAATATTGACGATATAGATGTTTATTCTTGTAGCCACAATTCAGTAGGCCCTTGCAATTAGATGATGTTCTAAAATAATAAATAATTATATTACTCAAAAACTAGTTTTTACTTAATTTATAAGGGCATCAAAACACAGTTAATACTTAAATCGTTGTTTATGCATATATATTACAAGTGAAAAATGATTACTAACATTTTAACTGATATGATGTATAACAAGTTTATTCCATATGAAAAATATTGTTACGACAGCAGAAGTCACGCGACGCTGGGAGCATGCGTGCTGGAGTTTCTAGAAGGATCATGAATTATCGAGAAACCCCGCGAATGTCCGAGTGTTTGCCAGTAGCCCTCTTTTTTTAGTATAAAAGCCCGGCAAATAAAGCCAGAGTAAGGGAAATATGAAGATAGATTAAAAAGATAGATAATTGAGTCAAACAATACAGAACAGTAGGCACCGTAAGTAAAGTGTGTGAATCACTGT